TATATCCCATACTTTTTTTAGGAATTACAGGAATTAGTTCTTTTAATTCTTGTGAATATATTAAATATGTTGAATATTTATTAATTCCACTAAATAACATTACTTTTAATCCATTTTTATCCTTTTCTAATTTCCAACTTGAAGAAAGTCCTTTTAAAACCATAAATACCTTTTCTGAATCAATTCGTGTTTTTTCTAATAATTTTATTGAATTTTTCAAAGTCCCTTCAACACATTTTTTAAAAACTCTTTGATATTCAAGAATCATTAAATCACTTCCTAATAGTGGATATTGTTGGCTTGAACTTTGTTCTTGCATAACAACTTTAGCTGGATTAGAAAGTAATCCTCCAATAATTTTACTTCCATTTTCTCCTGCTGAAAGACTTGTTGCAAGTGCACTTTCAATCATTCTATATGCTGATGAATATTGTTTTTGTTGATCACTCATTCCATTATTTGTTTGTTGTTGACAAAATTCATTAAAAATTTTATCCATTGCTTCTTTATCAGGGTATTTCTCTGCCATTTTTCTCATTAATGCAATGTATTGACCATTTGCTACTTCATCTATAGTTTTTTCTTTTAATAATAATCTTTCAGCATCAACTACTTTAATTTCTTCTATATGTGGATTATTAGGGTCATCATTATTTTCAATGTATGAAGCAATAGGTTCTTCAATAAAAGGAGTCATGGGGTTTTGCATTAGTACAAATTAATTAAAAAATATGAGATCTAATAGTAAAAGGTAATTCTAATAAACAACACTTTATAATAATACAACTCTTATGTCCCTAAAAGTTTAAAGAATAAATCAAATTTAAATTCATTTATGTTACTGTAATATATCAAATTTCCTCTTGTTCATTTCTTTTAATTTGAATAAAATGAAAAAAATAATAATTAAATCATAACTATCTCAAAATCATCAAATCATGTCAATGCAATGTAGACACCAACCAAAAGAATATTATTTGATATATCGTGAGAAATTTATTGACTCTTATTGTAAAAACAAATATGAAATTCTTCAAACTATTTTAACATTTCTTAGAGAAGTAACTTCTGACCAAATCAAAGAGGTATTAAAAATTATTTATTTTGATGATGAATGTTATAGAAATGAAATTTTACTTGGAGATTTTACACTTGACTTAAGAAGACTTCATGTAGAAACAATTTTAACTCTTTGGGTATTTCTTCAAGAAAGTAAAAAGAATCCTCGTGTAACAGCAGAAACTATTCAAATGGAACTTCAAATGTAAACTAATGATTTTTCTTACCAAATTTTTGCTCTTTGAATTTTCTTTATTGAAACTTTTTAGTTCATTCAGAAAAATGAAAAATCAACAACAACCACCACTTTGTTTGATTTTCCCATACTCTCCTCCTCACTTTTCTTATTCGCTTGATGCTCGTAAATGGACAAAAAAGGTGTTACTTGAACAATTACAAAAGATAGGGGAATATGGATTAGCATATCGATGTTATTTATATGAAATAGAAGCAAATCAATTTTTTCATATTGATAAACACTTCTATGAAAAGTATTCTAAAAAAATGAGACTTGATCTTGTTTGGATAGAACGCATCAATAAAATTTCCAATAAAATCATAGAAAATACAGCAGCTTGTGTTATTCAAAAAGCAGTTCGTTTAATGCTTTATTCTAAAGAAGAAAAACGATATCTCTATTGTGGTAATGTAGTGAAAGAATTCATTACAACAGAAAACACATATTGTGAACAGTTAGGTGTTGTAGAAAATTTAATCCATCAACCTTTGATAAAACAAGAAAAACCACTCTTAACTCCTGAACAAATTAAATTAATATTTGGAGGTGTTTCAGTCATTTACGGTGTCAATACAGCTCTATTACAGAATTTGAGAGAAAAACTTTCAGTCTATACACAAAGTTCTCGATTTGGTCATATTGTATTGACTTTTACTCCATTGTTGAGAGTTTATAGTGATTATTGTCAAACATATCCTCAAGTCAGTCAATTAGTAAGTTCTATGAAAGTACCACACCCTTTTGGGACATTCTACAAACTACAAATGAAACAAGCACCAGAACATCTACAACGATTTGATTTACTTTCACTTCTAATCACGCCAATCCAACGATTACCAAGATATAGACTGTTATTGAAGGATTTATTAAAACATTTACGACCAAGTGATATCGATTATGAGGACGTAAAAAAGGCATTGAATGAAATCGAAAAAGTAACTTCATTTGTTAACACTCAAAGCAAAAAACAAGAGAGCCTTGTAAGTTTGAAAAGTAGTTATTTGACTTAGTTTTGAAGAAACACACGTGAGTAGGCATTTTTACCGAAAATAAAAACTCTCTAAATGCATACTTTTAAATTGGACAAATAAATGGTGCAAGGAAGTGTTTCTGTGATGCGGTTTTCATTGCAAAGTGTATATTGTTTTTATTATTATGATTGTAAAGAGGTCTTGAGGTTTTTATGGTGGGTTGTATTCTTTTTTATTTTAGAAAAAGTTTCGAAGATTTTAAATATTTTCATATCGCTTTGATAACAGAATAAAGAAATTTAAATGTTACTTTTTTAATAATCTAATTACTCTGCTTGTTCAATTCCCTTGCTTTTATAAAATGTCAAAAAAGATCAATGAATAGGCATATATACAATTAGACTTTCTTCGTATTGAGATATGATCATTTCAGTGAGTTCAATATGTTTCACTGCTATCATAAAGTTCATTTCAAAGATTTGCTAAGTGTTCATATTATAATGTACTATTGAAATATATTTGTAATTTTATTATTTATAATCTTCTTCGTGATTCGTTATGTATTAATTTGTTGTTCATATAATAAGGATTATTTCTCGATATATTAATTCTCAATTTTGTCTTAACTTCTGTTGTAATTCTTTATATTTATTTTGGAAATAAATTTAATTCGATACTTCTATCTTGAAACACACCAATGTGAATAACACATCCTTTTTTTATCTTTTATATTGATAATGTATCTGATCTTCTAAATTGAAAGATGACCATTATTAAATCATTAATGTAAGTTATAACTATTTCATTATTATTAATACATTTATGAGGAATATTAAAATCTGACGAATCAAATTCATTGAAATGTGTAATTAATATATTTCTGTGTATTTGTTTCTTCTTCAATACATCCTAACAAGATATGATGAATAGATAGAGAGTGTTTGGATAGTTTTTTAATTAAAAAAAATAAAGAAAAACTTAAAAATTTAATGGAAAATAATATAATAGAAAAGGACATTATTAAATATTTTCAAGTTTTACCAGAAATAGCCATGAAATCAGCATATAAATCGAAATGGACATGTTCAGAAATATTTCGGTTATTACCTGGGATGTGTCAAAGTTTGTTATTAAGAATTATTTTTCTAAAGGAAAGAATCACTATACATGAATTGTATAATCAATTTAAAATACCAAATGAAACAATGGACGAAGTGATTAATACAATCCATAGCATTCACATTATTGATAAAGAAGAAGAAAATGGAATTTTGTATATTAAACTAAATAATGACTTTCAGAATAATTTTAAAATGAATCTTATAGGATCAATGGAACCAGCATATAAAATTAAAGAAGTTAATGAAAAAGTATCACAAATAATTAAAGAGAAATGTTAAAAGAAAATTTATTAAAACAT